ACATTAGGTCCTCAGTTTTTCCCCTCAAGAGTACCTCATTTCTCAGAGAGTATCAGAATGCTAAAACTGAGGACGTCCATTTCATCCTTGATCGTAACTTTAGGGGTGTCGACACCCCCATCTTTCTCTCCTGGTGGTTCCAGGTTACCGACTTTGTGTTAGCAGCCCCGCCTCCCCACGACGCCAGGGCTCAGGCCCCATGAGTGTAGAGAAGAGCCTCCCTGGGGTTTCTTCTTCACATTTTATTTGGTCGATGAGGATGCGTGGCAAAACATGCACCGCGTCAGCAGTTTCTCCCTGGCCGACTGAGTGGGTGACGTCGGGGGCTTTCAGTGACTGATGTGTCTCCAGAAGTAGATCGCCGGGCCTGTCTTCTGAGGCACCCCTGGGCGGGCTTGAACCTCGAACTGCCAAGGGTTTGCATGAGCAGCTCTGCCCCACACGAACCTGGTGCAGTGCCCAAGCACCCTGCCGCCGTGTGACTTCCAACTCCTGAAGTCCCTGACTTACAACGCCGCCCATAGAGGACAGGCCAGAACGGCCCCGGGGCTCCCCAGGAGTGGGCCTTCTCGTCTCTCTCCCGTGGAGAAAGCTTGGTCCTGCCCCCACGACGCCACCAGGGTGCCCCCAAAGCGGCCCTTGGCCCCTGGCAAGTCTCCTTACCCCTCAGCAGCAACACAGACGACCATGTGCATTGTGTCCTTCACATCCTCCCGACCTGCCCACGGTCAGCTACCCAGAAGGACGGTGACTACCTGGCCTCCTTCTGCGCCAACTGCCACTCTGCCAGCTTCCACTAGGGGGCGAGAGGCGGCTAGCCGTGGGATGCCCTGCACCCTAGAGGGGCCTCAGTCCAGAAATTTGATTTTGTTTCCTCCGTACACTGCGTGCTAAGATCACAGGGAGCAAGGCAGGGGGCACGATGACCTGACCGAGACAGGTGTGGCCTTGACAACCACAAGCCCATCCTCCAGTTGGGGCACTACCCCGGGCAGGGCTGGGACTTGTTGGGGCTGAGCGAGGAGGCATCGAGGTCAAGCAGGGGAGGTGTAGGTGGTCGGGGAGGGAGCTCTTGGGAAAGAACCTGGAGCAGTGGGGTCGCCTAGAGAGGGTGCTGGAAGGGGGCGCAGTGAGGAAGGTGGGAATTGAAACAGGCCAGGCACCCCATCCACCCTCTGTCATGGGGCCAATTCCGGCTTTGAAGACAGAGTAGGACAGACAGACGGCCACATCTTTTGCCTGCAGAGCAGCCGGTGGGTTCGAACTGCCAACTCCTTCGTTACCAGTTTAACCTACTGGGCCACCAGGGCTCCTGGAGTGGAGACCAGGCCCCCGTTTCTCTGAAGGCACCCAGGGGGCCTGGAAGTGGGCTTTGAGAGCCAGGGACACTGTTCTACCTGTGGCCGGAACAGTTCTCTTCCCACGACAGGTTGGAAGGGAGCAAGAGCATGCTGGGAGTTGGGCCTGGCCTGTCTCCACAGTGGACTTGGGTCTGTGGGCTAGGTGTTGGGGGAAGGTGGGCAGGGCAGTCTTAAGTGGCCTCAGCTATGGATCCTCTCTCTCTCTCTCTGTTACAGACATGTCCTTCAATAACACCTTGTTTGCCGTCTCCATGGTGAGTGGCCCCAGTTCCCTAACCTTAGGAGGCTGGGGAGAGCCAATGGGCGGGGTCTCCCTGGTATCCCTGGCCAGGAAGATACCCAGGGTCCATGAAAAGGCACCTGGTTGTGGGGTGAGGGATGGCCCTGGGAAACCATGGTCCAAGGGGACCAAAGGTGGCAGGTTGGCCAGACCTTTGTGAAGTAGTGGGGTGGCCTGTGGTCGGGTAGCAGGGTGATGGACGGAGTGGCCTCTGGAGCTGGCTCAGGGCTCACTATGCCCAGAGACACTGGCTCAGAGACCCGCTGTCAGCACTGCTTTGGCAAGGGGTGCATGGGCTGACCTTCCAGGGTGGTGGCGGAGGAGTCAGAGTGACCTGGTGACCTCCGGGTGGTCAGGGAGCCT